TTTTTTTTTTTTTTTTTTTTTTTTTTTTTTTTACATCGGGGGACTTAACTTCTCGCCGCTCAAGTATTCACAGCCTTAGATACTTGCAGAGACCAGAAACTGGGGAACTCACAAGATTGGAAAAGCCAAATGATCTGTACCCGCAAACAGCAGGAGATGTAACTGTCACCCAGAATCTTTCCCATTGCCAGGCCAGGCAGAAATATCAAAATAAGCATTGGCCTTTGCACTCACACCTATGGTTTCAGATGGACTCCAGGTAGCGGCTATTGAAATAAGGGAAAGAGGAGTGGGCCAGTAACAAAAGACAGTTCATAAAAGGGGAGAGTTGATGGACCTTCAGAACCGTATCGAAGAAAGGCCCTTTGGTGTGGGGCAAGAAAATTGGAGATGAAAGTTCAACTGGGATGATTCTTTTCTGGAAGTGCACCACTGAGTTGACCTTTGGCAGGTAATGTGGACATGCCACGGATGGAGCCAAAGGCATCACCAGTCCTGACTAAGGTTCTGAAGTATCTGTAATGCCAGAGATAAAGTGGGGAGGGGGGAGAAAATGAAACCTAGAATTGCTGGAGCTAGGGAGCCATAGGGTGGCAGAAGGAATCGTACATGTAAGGAAGGCATCTTCCATTATCAAATATGTTTGTCATTGGCAAGGGTGAGTGCTGCTATTTGCAGGCGGTAAAGTCATGTAGATCCTCCTTAAAATATGGGTCACATGGTCTTGGTGGCTGTCAGACTATATGGGAAGACAAACTTGAAGGACCTTGAAAATGGTCATTAAAATTTGGGATGAAAAATAGGACTATGGTCTGAAACCATGTAAGTTAGTCTACTATGAAAATGTAAAATCTGGAAAATAAAAGTGTTTTCTGTGACAGGTGTGGTTCATGATACCTACAGAGGTTGGCTTGTGGCCATCTTATGGAGAGTGTGTTTCATGCAGAAACAGGGTGTTAGAGATGACATCTTGAGTGATTGCGTCCGCAGGGTGTGTTCTATGGTCAGGAGGGAGTGCAGCACTGACCCCGGGATGCCATTCCAAATTGGAACTTGTCCCAGAAACCTCATTGTAACATAGCCCCAAAATACATACAGCAAAAATTGAAAGAATTGAAAGTAGGTATGGGCAAATCCAGTAAAAAAAATAAATAAATAAAAAAATAAAAAAAACAAATAAAAAACGTCTCTCAGCAATTGACTGCTCAAACAGTCAACAACTTAATAAGAATTTAGAAGTTTTGAAGATGTGAACAAACTTGACTGAATGGATAAATCCTGAGCCCCAAACCCAACAATTATATAATACACATTATTTATTGTCAAGCATCCATGCAACATGTATGATAAATATATTGGAACATGTGACAAAGTAAATGTCAAAAAAAAAAAAGTGACAGCGTCCAATTCACTCAGACAGGCTAGAAGCTATAATTTGTATGAGGTAGGGTGTCCTGGGGCAGTGAGGTCGGTGAGCTATTAAGCACAAATCGAACAGCAAAATAGGCAGATGGTATTCAGGGGTGTGGTTCTTATGGACTGTTTAGCTATTGGACTATAGACAGGGAAGCAAATTCGATTGGCCTTGAAACTTTGTGACTAAAAGCTGGGAGGAAAAACAACTGGGGCTATGGTCAGAAATCATGTGAGAGAGTATTCCATGAAAACAGAAAGCCTGATTTACAAAATGTAACAGCGGCCAGGTCTAGGAGATGGCTTGTGCCATCTTGCTGAAGCTGTTGCATATGAGTGTGGTGATCATATATTCCAGGACTGTTTTGTGGTCAGGAGGAAGTACAACAGTCCCTTAAGATGCCATC